AAAGAAGACTTCAGGGAATATTTTTGGTTTAAGGTTTAAAGATTATCTCAGGGCAATAGTTTCAGGGGTTCATCCAGCCTCCATGGTTCCAGAAAGTCTGGATTCCATGAGAATTTGAAATTCTGTTCCACATTTTTTTCCCTTTTGATCAGGATTCGTCTTTGATCAAAATGTTCAATAATAGTAGCTGGTACCATCCAGTTCTTCTGGTCTCATGGCAAAGGAAGGCCTCCAGTTTTTTAGAAGGAAGGGCCTTTAGAAGTAAAAATCAGAGGTTTTGAGAGTCTTCGCTGCCTGGTGGGAGCCTGAGTCTAAGATCCATAGTATCATTGGGTAAGCAAATCCCGGGGGAGGCCTAGCAGTGTTCCTCTGGGCTCTCAACCTCACAACTCCCAGGAGATAGAGCCCTAAGGACAGCAGCTTCTCCATGTCCATGGTCTCTGTCCAGGTCCTGAGTTCTTCCAGGGTCTAGACTGCTCTGCCTCTTTGTTGCTACATGTTTCCTCGTTTCTACACTTGTTTGTGGAATAGTAAGTGATCCCATTCCCACTGGGTGCTCCCAGGTAGCATTTCCCAGCAGCCTCTGGGGTGTACTGCCTTTGGCTACTGAGTACTGATGCCTTAGTGACCCACATGTCACTAATGGGGTCAGGCCCACAAGGAAGGAGGCAGGGAAATGAGTCTTCCTTTGTTCCTTCTTTCTTTCTTTTTAAAAATACTTTACCTTGTTTATTTCTCAACTGGAAACTATCATAGAGAAATTATGCATGAAGTTTGAAGTAAGGGGAACCAAACAATCAAACCAAACCCATTGCCATCGAGTGGATGCAGACTCACGGTGAACCTATGTGTTACAGAGTAGAACTGCTCCATAGGGTTCTCTTGCCTACAATCTTTTGATTGCAAAAAAAAGTAGATTGCCAGGCCTTTTTTCCATGTGGCAGCACTGGGTGGTTTGAACCACCAACTCCCAGGTTAGCAGTTGAGCACAAACTGTTGGCACCATCCAGTTTTGTTTGAGTTTAATGCTCTTACTTTGAATCACTACAGTATCTTCTGCTAAATTCCTCATTGCCAAAAACCCTCCATCCCCTCGTTTTGTACTGATCCATACATGTTTTTAGGGAAAAAAAAATTATCAGAATTAATAGGTACTTTCCTATGAGTTCTGATTTTCTTTTTTTTTAAATTGGATTTCAGGCATACAACATTAATCTATATGACTATTATAGATTAACCATAATCTTAACTTCCTGACACTTCCATCATGTTCTCATTCTCTCCCCCTTCTCTCTCTATTTTTTTTTCCTTACAAATGTGATGTAATGAGCACCTGCAAACTCTCCACCCAAAACGAAAAACAGATTCTTGACATTGTCATTGACATTGACATTGAGAGGCATACAATAGCCAGTCTCTGTTTAATTTCTCTCATTTCTGCCCCCATTCATTTCCATTTTTTTCTACTCCACTCCTCTCGCTCTGTTCTTTGAATCGTTCTCAATCTTGTATTTTCCCCTTAATGTGAGAAAGACACTCTTGTTCTTGTGATTTTAGAAGTAATACATGATACTGAAAAAAATTCAAGTACCACAGAAGCATCTAAAGAAGAAAGTAAAAAAACTACTCTTAAAGTTTGTTGTGTGTCTCTTTAGATTATGCTGATATGAAAAATTTTTATACAAGCAGGACTGGAACGTTCCACAGCACAGTGGTTAGGAATGCTGCCTCTTCTGCCCCAAGTTATGTGACCACAAGCAAGTTACTCAACTTTTATGTCTGTTTCTTTATCTGTAAAATGAGGATCATAACATAGAATATATTTCTAATGTTATTAAGGAGTAAATGAAATACTCTTTATAAAGAAGTCCCTGGGTGGTGCAAACAGAATGAACTCAGTTGCTAACTGAAAGGTTGGTGGTTTGAGTCCACCCAGAGGTGCCTCAGAAGAAAGGCCTGGCAATCTACTTCCAGTTCTACTCTGACACACACGGGGCCATAAATTGTAGTCAACTCTGCAGCAACTGGTTTGGTTTGGTTGTTTTCAACAGTGAGGGCTTTAAAATTTCAGCTCCTTCTGTAGTTCTTATTCCGTTAATATATATTCACTTAATTGACATCTTTGTGTCAATATATTATCATCTAAGCCTTCTGGAGGAGCCCTGGTGGAGCAGTGGTTAAGTGCTCAGCTGCTAACTGAAAGGTTAGTGGTTCAAACCACCAGCTGCTCCGTGGAAAAAGATGTGGCTGTTGCTTCAGTAAAGATTACAGCCTTGGAAACCCTGCGGGGGCAGTTCTACTCCGTCCCGTAGGGCCGCTGTGAGTTGGAATCAACTGGATGGCAGCGGGTTTGGTTTGATTCTTTTTTGGGGGGTGGGGTTTGATAAGCCTTCTTGTGGAAATCTGCGTAGTTCTTTACTGCACAGAGGCATTAGAGTTTATCTAATAAGCTCCCTCTTGATGGGTTACATTTATTTAATGAGTCTTCTTGGCTAAAAGCTTGGCTGCTAACCAAAAAGATTGGCAGTTCGAATCCACCAGCCACTCCTTGGAAACCCTATGGGGCAGCTCTGCTCTGTCCTATAGGGTTGCTATGATTTGGAATTGACTGGATGGCAACGGATTTTTTTCAGGTTTGTTTTGCTGGATATTTATGGAGTTTTCAATGTGGGTATTGTAAACAAAGTGTGGTGAACAACCTGTCACTCTGGGCTGGCTATCTCCTTGGGGTAAATTCTCAGAATTGTAACTGCAGGTCAGAGGGTGTGCGCAGGGTTTGGTCCTTGGACCTGTTTCTTCTTCTGCCTCCTTCACGCCCTCAGGAATCTGCCCAGGGCTATAAATCCATCTATAGGAGGCAATCAGTTACCTTCAAGTCAATTCTGACTTGTGGCAACCCCATGTGTGTCAGAGTAGAACTGTGCCCCATAGGATTCTCAAGGGCTAATTTTTTGGAAGTAAATTGCCAGGCCTTTCTTCCAAAGCACCTCTGGTGGACTCAAACCACCAGCCTTTCAATTAGAAGCCAGGCACTTGTGTATTTGGTAAAAGTATACCCAGCAAAACAGGTTCCCATCCAACAATTTCCGCACATAATGTTCAGTGACATTAGTTACATTTTTCAGTCTGTGATAGTATTCTCATTATTTCCCTTGCTAGCTGTTCCACTCCTGTTGATTTAGTCTCACTGCCCCCCAACCTCCCACCCCAAACTTCTCATCTATGATTTAGAGCCTCCCTTACTTCTTTAGGAAACCCTGGTGGTGTAGTGGTTAAGTGCTACAGCTGCTAACCAAAAGGTCGACAGTTCAAATCCACCAGGCGCTCCTTGGAAACTGTATGGGGCAGTTCTACCCTGTCCTATAGGGTCACTATGAGGTGGAATTGACTTGACGGCAACAGGTTTGGTTTTTTTTGTTGTTGTTTACTTCTTTGAGGTTGTTTTTTCAAACATTGGCTTGTCGGTGAGGCCTTCCTTGAGCTTCTCTTTAAAAACTTACCTTGCCCCCCACCCCGCGCCCCCCGCCCTACTCTTCCTTTACTCTCTTTCTTGTTTTTTCCTTCCGGTAGAGTGATCCATTATCCCCATTTACTTGGAACTGAGGGATTTTCCAAGACATCAGAGTTTCAGTTTTAAAACTAGGCAAGTCCAGGATGTTGGTCACCCTATTTAAGCACATTGTATCCGATACGCTCTATAGTTTACTTATTTATTTGGTTAATTGTCTCCCCCACTAGAATGTAAGCTCTAAGGGCGGAAGTTTTTGTCTGTCTCGTTCACTGCACTATCCCAGGTAACGGAAGTGTTTTTGGCTCATAGTAGGTGCTCAATAAATATTTGTGAATGAATGAACGAAGGAATGAACTTTTGGCCAGCCTATTCCCCACAGGGATTGTGCCAGTGAGGTTTCCTTGGGCTTCTTAAAATACCCTACTGTAGGGAGGTGGCCTCAGGTTGGGGCAGGCAAACTGCTGGGCCTTGAATGAGGCAAAGACTTATAACTTATCCCATTTTTCCCTCTTCCAGGGCAGGAGTCCAGCAGTGGCCGGGCCTGCTGGGAATGGCTGAGGGTGTTGGGGCCCTGGCTGGGGCTACTGCATGTGGTCTGCTTCCCACTGCCACCCCCTGGCGGTCCCTCATGAAAAAGCAGCCTCACTCACGGCCAGAGGGTCAAACAAGGGTGCCCCTCCCCTCCCCTTTCTCTCACCTTCTCTGTCCTGTCTCCACTTTTCTCTCCTTCACTCTTTCCTTCACTGGTTCCTCTCCCACGCCTCTCTGCTTGCTCTTTTACTCTGCTACCTAATGTCAAGGGCTTTGACCTTAGTCCACTGAGTTAAAACCTAGCTCTGGTACCTACTAGCTGTGTGACCTTGAGCCAACTACTAAACCTCTCTGAGCCTAGGTTTCCTTAACTGGAAAAGAGGATTGTAACTCCTGAGGGTGAAATGAGATAATCCACACAGAACACCCAGCACAGTGCCTGGCCCAATAGATGTTTATTAATTTTTTATTAATTATTATTAGTACTATCATGCCTGGCACTTGATGGGTGCTCAGCCATTGGTAGCTTACTTTCTTTCTTCTTCATCCCAGGTAACCCAGGCTACACATTAGACTCACGTAGGGACTCCTAAAAATACCCAAGCCCTCCCTATCCCAGACCAATTAATCTATTAAATCAGAAAATTCGATGGGGGTGCAGGCATCCCCAGGTGATTCTAACGGGCAGCACAGGTTGAGACCCAACTGGGTGACCAACCGTCTTGGTTACCTTGGTCTTTCCCAGTTTTCTCACTGAAAGTCCCAAGTCCCAAACCAGGGCATTTGTTCACACCCCTCCCCACAGAGAACAGGCCCCTATCTTCTGAATCCCAATTCAGAGCACATTGTCTGAGCATTTGAAAGCACAAGCTGGAGGTGGTGGGTCACGGAGGCCGCAGGGTCAGCTGTGGCAGGAGCCAGGCTTGGAGTGGGAGGTAGGGGTGGGGCTGGCTGTGGCTTAGTCGGACAGGTCCCCATTAGGCTCCCCAGGGCTCTGGCCACTGGCTGCCTGCTCCACGGCCTTCACCCAGCGGCTCCTCAGCTCCTTGGTCTCAGCCTTGAACGTGTACAGCTGGCCTGACTGCTGCAGCTGGAAGACCCGGGGGTCCGCCTGGGGCCCAGCAGTGACCTGGTAGCCCAGCAGGGGGATGGAGGTGTGAGCCCGCATATCCTAGGAGGGGAGGGGAGAGCAGTGGGTCACTGTCCCCCACCCCCACTTCAGCCCCATCGCCTCAGATAGTCATTTTGAAGGTTACAGCCACACACCTGCTTCTCACACTCCACACACCCATGAAGGGGAGTGGACTGGTGGGAGGACAGCGAGAAAGAGGGGAGAAGAACAGACCACCCACCGAGAGCAGGGCAGTTGTGACCTGGAGCCTGAGCTCAGCTCTGAAACCCACGAATCCTGTGACTTGAGGGTGCCATGTCCTCATTGTACCTCAGTTTCCTCATCTTACATGTAAAAAAAACCAAACTCATTGCCATCAAGTTGATACCAACTCACAGCAACCCTATAGGGTAGAACTGCCCCATAGGGTTTCCAAGGAGCAGCTGGTAGATTCAAACTGCCAACCTTTTGGTTAGCAGCCTGAGCTCTTAACCACTGCACCACCAGGGCTCCATGTTACATATGGGACCAATGATACTCACCACCCCCACCCCCCACC